ATCGAGACCTTTCATTTGAGTACCCACATCAATTATTCATATATTTGATATATTTATATATATATTATATATATGTATATATGAAAAATATATAAAAATGTATGTGGGTACTCAAATGAAAGCTCTTGATGAGTGTAACATAAAAATGAGCTTATATCTTCGAAAATGTCAATTTTTAAGAAAGTACAGTGCTATTTATCAAAAGTTATTATTTACAAGTCACGGCAGTCACGTAGTGACTGCAAGATTTAATTATTATCTATTAAATTTTTAATATAATTTATTATCATTATTAAACAAAAATACTTTAATTAATCGCCATCCATATTAATAAAACACTAAAACAAACTCAAAAATTACCTGCCGGAGGAATTAAAAGCGGCAAATGCGCTTCCAATTGCCCAGTAGGTCTAGCATTAGCAGCCTGCCGAATTTCGCTGTGTAATTCCGTGACCAGCTGTACAGCTTTAGGATCGCTCTAAAAATTCAAAATAATCATAAAAAAAAAGAAACATTTACTCCAAAATACTCCCAAAAAAAAACTCACCTCATTATCAACCCTTAGAGACATCAAATCATCAACTCTAATAGGTTTCCCCTGTCCCAGCGCGCCCGCGAGTGAATTAAGCTTCTTTGCCAAAGTGTCTTCACTAATTTCCGAGTTAAAATTCTCCTTAGTGGGCCTGGGGCCCTTGGGGCTGTAGCAGTAACTCGGAGAGGCCCCAAAAGAATTCTCGAAGCCTTCGGGCAAATTTTGGACATGGTATCCTTCTTTAAGTCTTTTTAATCTGCAACAGGATTAAGAAAAAAAAAATGATTAAAAAAAATTAATAATATTTATTATTTAAATTTTAATTCTTAACAATTTTTTACACCGTTAAAAAAAAAAAATTACCTATTTACAACTAAAATTCCGTCCGAATAAATCAGAATTATTTTTAATAAATAAATGATTAACTTTTAATCGTCCACAATTAAAATAACGCACATGTCATTAATTAATTAATTTTATTGACACAATAATTACATTATAAAAAACAATTTTTTTTTTTTCCAGCTGCGTATTAACATATTTATTTTTATTTATAATTATTTACATTTTATTTAAATAATATTTCCTCATCCCTTTTTTAATTATATTGACTCGGAAAATTGGAGGGGAGTAAGGTTCAAGTCAATAATTAATTTATAACTGTTTATGATTAATTAATTTAAATTTTGTGAGACGAAAAAAAGTTTATCACGTACTTAAAAATAATCACACGGTATAATTTATATTAGATGGTCTGGGTTTTGTTTTCGGCTAGTCCAAGTCTCCTTCTTATGATTTTTTGGATATTCCAATTTAGGTCCCTCCTCACATCAATTTAAGCTGGATAAAAAACAAAAATAAAAATATAAAATAAAAAAATAAAATTATAAATAAATATAAATAATAATAGGGTTTCATTTTAATCTTTTATATATATATATATTATTTACATTTTTTTTTGAGACTTAAATTAGTTACATTTTATTTTAATATACATTTTTAGGTGTTAACAATTTTTTTTTTTAATTTTCAATTTTTTATATATTTTTGAGTGGAAAAAAATTTTTGGTATCAAAAATTAAAATATAATTTGTGTTTTCTTCGTGATATATATAATTAATTTTAATTTATAAAAAAATATTATTTTTTATATTACAAGGGAAATATTGGTCTTAAAAAAATTATATAAAAAAATGTTTTTATAATTTTTTTTATAATTAATAAAAATTTGAATTATTTTTTTTATCAATGTTAATTAATTACGGGAAAAATATTGGTCGTATAAAAAAATTTTAATATAAAAGTTCAAAATTTAATTTAATAAAAAAATTGTCATAATTTATTTTTTAGGACCAACCAAAACGCCGAAATTATTAAAATAAACATTTATATAATTAATAAAAATTTGAATTATTTTTTTTATTAATGTTAATTAATTAATTAATTACGGGGAAAAGATAGGTCCTAAAATAAAATTTTTGAAATAAGGGTCCAAAATTTAATTTTATAAAAAAAAATGTCTTGTAATTTTTTCTCAGGACCAATCAGAACGCCAGAATTAAAAAAATTAACATTATTATGATTAAATTACTTAAAATTTGTACTAATAGAGGTTAAGAAAATATCAAAAGTAATTTTTTTTAAATATATATAAAATGTTATTCCAAACTACATTATAAATTAACATTTTATATAAAATTACAAAATAATTTTTCAAAAAATTTCACTGAAAATATTTAAATATTTTCAATACTTTTTTAAAAACTAACTTAAATTAAAATTTATAAATTATAATAAAAGGTTCCATACCTTATGACTCTCTCGAAGAAAACACAACTATTATTCTAGTATCACTAAATTGACAATAAAAAAGGATTACATAAATTTTTGGGAGTAATTTTTCATACCAAAAATTGTTTATTAAATTTTATTAAATCACCCCAATATACATATATTATAAAATAAATTCTAATCAACAGTAGCCATTTATAAATAAATAAATGGCGGATACGATAACTTACCCCGAACCCGCGTTAGCGTTCTCAAGTTGTTCCCGAACCTTCCGACGTTGTCTTTTGCTCCATAACTCGTGACAGTCTTGGAAAGTAGGCAGGTCGGGAGGAGGCATACTAATTTATAAAAAAATATTTATTAATAGTCCAAAATTATACCAAAAAAAAAAAATTAATTAATTAATTCAAAAAATTTTTTTTTAATTAATTCAAAAAAATTTTTTTTTAAATTAATTAATAAAAATAATAAAAAAAATTTTTTTTTACCGTTCGGGTTCAATATTTCTCAACCAAGCACTTTTAAGTGCATCGGCAGCAGTGATGCGTTTTTCTGGATCAAGTTCCAGCATTTTGTCCAATAAATCCAGAGCTGTTGGAGGTAAGAATGTAAAATCTTCTCTCAAGCGTCTCCGGTAGGTCTTTTTAGCTTTTAGAGTGTGCCAAAGTGGCAGTTTTATCACAGACGGCCACACGGCCGGTGTTGGCGTTCCACAGACTCGGGCAATCAAGTCTAGTTGCATCATTTCCATGTTCGCCTTTAATTATAATAATTAATTAACAATTAATAATTATTTTAAATTAAAGACTGCGATTTTTTATTGAAATTATTTATTACCTGAAACAATGGCTTTTTCCAAAATAATTCTCCGAGGATACACCCACAACTCCAGACATCTATCGCGGGACCATAACGCTCTTCTCCGAGTAACAGCTCGGGAGGACGGTACCACAGAGTTATTACTTTGTTTGTATATGGTCGCTGGCGGTCCTCTGCGTTGTAGAGTCGCGCTAGACCAAAGTCTGCGAGTTTTACTTCTCCTCTGAAAAATTATATTTATTTTTTTTAGTTCATTATTATTATTTTTTTAATTTATTATTAAATATTAAATTAGAATTTTTTTAGGTTGATATTGATTGAAAATTATCACAGTGTATTGATCAAACAAATTTTAGTTGAAATTTACCTTGAGAATTTTAATAATTATTTTTAAGTCAATAATTTTAAATTTTTTAATAAATTTTTATTTAAAAATATTTTTTCAAGTCGAAAATAATTAAAAATTTTTTAATAAATTTTTATCAAAAAATATTTTTTTTTTCTTAATTATTTTTAAGTTAACAACAATTTTTTAATAAAATGGTTAAAAATATTTTTTAAATAAAATTTAAAAAATCTCTATATATGATTTTTTTATACTAATTAATTTATCAAAAAAAAAATTGATTAAAAATAATTATTTAAAAATTTTCACTAAATTATATTAATTAAATATAAATAAAAAAAAAAAAAAAAAAGAACATACCTATTATTCATAAGAATATTAGAACACTTGATATCCCGATGCAAGAAATTTTTGGCATGACAATAATTCAACCCATCAAGTAGCTGCTTCATAATACTAGCATTGTTCATTTCATTAAAGTCAACCAACTTAGATTCCAACAGTCCCATAAGATCATGATCCATGTACTCAAATACCAAATAAAAGGACCCTTTGTCCTTCCTAAAATCTTTAGCGTCCTGTTTATCAGTAACAATTTCCCTGAGGTTGACAATATTCTTATGATTGAGCTGCCTGAGAATTTTAATCTCCCTAACAGCAGTAATCGGAAACCCTTCCTTCTCATTCTCCAGCCTGACCTTCTTCAGAGCAACAAAAACATTGGCCCTGGTGTCCCTAGCCTTGTAAACTTGCCCATAAGTTCCTTCTCCAATTTGGTTCATGACCTCAAAGACATCGACACACCTCTCACCCCAATCTTTGCCACCAGAGGCCGACATTGGCGCGTGGCAGTTCCTGAGGTTCCTCTTTTTCAAAATCTTCGGGCGCTTGAGCTTAGGCTTGGGTGCAAGCCGTTCCAGCTTGTTCCTTGGAGGAGTAGCATTAGGATCTTCCTCTCCACTGTAGTCTTCTCCCTGAGCCACTGGCGGCATTGGTAGTTCCGTTATTCCCTTTTTAATATTCTTAATCAACCCGGTTCCTCCTGTTCCACCAGTTCCACCCTTTCTCTGAGGACTCGGCGACCTGCTAGGAGGCGAGTCGATGCTCTCCAGGTCATTCTGATTAATTCCAGGAGGTAGTGGTAGCTTGGACAGCTTCCCGGTTTTAAATTGAACAAATGGCGCCTTTGGAGGATCTATAGATTTAATTGGAACAAGATTGTTCGGAGTGTTGAACTTTGAAATGGCGTTCATAGGCGACGAGACTGCCACTGGAACGGAATTTCCAGTGACAACAGGTACTGTGGCTTGAACAGGAATCAAATTTGGTGTTGGAACCGCTGGAACAGTACTTGGAACCGGAACTGTTCCAAGAACGGTGCATGGAACATGAGTGGTTTCTGGAACGGAGGCAATTCCTGGAACAGTTCCTGGAACATGGCCGGTTCCAGGAATATCCGTAGGAGGCGGTGGTGGTGTTTTCTGACAAACACTAGCCCCATTTGGCGGAAAAGGTGAATTAGAACCCGTCTGTCCTGGAAGAGGAGGCGTAAGCCCCTCCGAAGTTTCAGGAACTGGAACAGGAATGTCGACAATTTCCACGGACTTGTCAACGCGGCCATTGGACTTGTCAGTGGAACAGGAGCTCGAGTCTTTTTCATCAGAGCCTTCGATAATCTGAACATCATCCTGACTATTGACCTCCTTCTCCTTAGCAGCCTGGTACTTTTTATAAGCAAGTTCCTTGATGTTCCTGTCCTTGACCATCTCCGCGAACAAAGTAGTCTCATTAATCTTCGCCTGGCTCCTCAAGTTAATCGCCTTGAGACTAGTCGGGCTCCTCAGCCTGGTGCGGTGCGGCGAGGGGATCCTCCTGGGGCTCTTGGACCTCTTCCTCGCGGACCTGGGTAACTTTCCAGGAGGAGATCTTTTGGGTGTGCGACTTCGCCTCCTCTCTCTGGACCTAGACCTGGAGGGTTTCCTCCACCTGGGACTCCGACTCCTGGAGCGGGACATGTCTGGAACTCCGCGATTCATCAACCTGGACTTCCGCTTGTCCTTCCGTTCTCTATCATGGTGCCTGTGCTGTCTCATCATGTCCTCGCGCTTTCGTCTTTTGCTCCCGGGGGACATGGAGGCGCGGAACTCCCGGCGACGAGGACTAGGAGAGTGTCTCACCCGGTGCATCGGGCTCGGGCTGAATTCTCTTCTTCTGGGGCTGTGTTCTCGACGTCCTGGCGGACTACTGGGGCTGTGTCGCCTCCTGGTGAGCGGACTGTCGGCTCTAGGAACTCGATGTGGAGGACTGTTCCTCGGTTCTGGACTGTGCTTGGACATCTTCTCCGGGGAAGAGGGTCTGGGAGGCAGCAGAGGAGTGTGAGGAGACTCCGAGCGACGGAGGATGGGCGGAGTGACGTGCTGGGGCGACTCCAGGTCCATGTCACTCGGAGAACGCTGCTGAGGCGTCGCCGGAGAAATCGGACTCGTGCTGTCCTTCAAAGGCATCGGCGGCGACTCCGGCCACTTCTCGACCATCTTCGGGCTCTCCGGGACGAACTCCTGGACAATTTCCGGACTCAGACTCCTGGAGGCGCGCTTTGACTTCCGCTTCCGCTTCTTCGAGGAACTCGAGCTCGGACTCAAGCTAATTTTCTTTTTCTTCTCCCGGCGATGCTTCTTTTCCTTGCGACGGTACCGACGTTCCTCGGTAAACTCCGGACTGGGAACCTGGGGCTCTTCTACAGGGGAAAAGTGTCTCTGACGCATCGGAGGAGACGGGGACATGCTGATTGGTGAAGGACGAAGATCTCCGGGAGGCTGAGGCACCACTGGACGCTTCGGGCTACCATAGTACCGCGGTCGAAGCACCCCCAGGTCGCTGTCTGTGTAGCTGTTGCCTCTGCTCTCCTCGGACTGAATCTCTCCGGCCTCGGGCTCGGACAAGTCCTCGCTGCTCACATCAGAGTACTCCACAAGAGGTTTTACTATTGAGGAGGCTACTTTGGGGATGTCCGAGTCTAGAGACTTGTCTCGTGAACGCTTTTTCTTCTTTTTGCCGGAACTACGGCTGCTTTTGCCATGGCGACGGTGCCGCTTTTCCGAGGTGTCGTAATGACGGGTTATGTCACTGCCGACACTGTCACGACGACGGGATTTAAGTCTGCCATTACATATATATAAATATATAAAATATATGAAAAATTGATGTGAGTACTCAAATGAAAGGTCTCGATGAGTGTAACATCAAAATGAGCTTATATCTTAAAAAATGTCAATATTTCACAAGATACAAGGTCGTTTTTTAATTATTGACATTTTTATAGATATAAGCTCATCCTGATGGTAAGCTCATCAAGACCTTTCATTTGAGTACCCACATGTATTTTTTATATATTTATCATATATACATATATATAATATATAAAATATATGAAAAATTGATGTGGGTACTCTAATGAAAGGTCTCGATGAGTGTAACATCAGGATGACCTTATATCTTTAAAAATGTCAATATTTAACAAGATACAAGGTAATTTCTTAATTACGTATCTAGAGATTCTAAAATTAAAACTATTTCATCTATGTAATGCTAAACAAATGTAATATTTTTTTTGGCAATAAAATTTTTTAACAATTTTATGAGTTATTATTTCCATCAAAATTAATATTTTTAACTATGTTAAAAATTAATATTTACATGACATAATGTTTATAAATAAATAAACACCTGAGCGAGTTCCTCCATGTCATTAATCGTCTTCAATTCCATATTATCAAAAGGACTAGACGTATCGTTGTCAAAGTCCGCGTAGTCTAGCCCATTGGACTTGACATTAAGATCAATATCCTGGAGATCGCAGGGCGGAGACAGCGGCTGGGGAGTAAGTATAGTAGTTTTGGGTGCTGGAGCAACTTTAACTGGCAGTGGAAGTACTTCTGGAGATGACGGAGAGTTACTTTTAGTTAGTTCTTCTTCTTCTTGTTCGCGTTTTTTCCTTTCTTCAATACGCTGTTCTCGCGCTTCTTTATTTTCTTTCCTCACTTTCCGCCATTCTTCCAGCTGACAATTTTAATAAATAAATTATGGCAAAAAAAATCATTAAAAAAATAGAAATTTTAATAAATAAAAAATGCAATTTTTTTTAAATAATTTTTTTGTTAAAAAAAAAAATTAAAAAAATTGTCATGACAGCTTAATTAAAATTCATATAATAATTTACAATTAAAGTACCTTATTTAGAATAGACCTTTCAACGCTAAAATCATAATTATAACGAGTGATATCTGGAAATTTGTTGTTGTAAGCTGCTGGGAGTGTTACTTTCCTAGGAGGCTTATAAGCTTCTGCTATTTTGACATTGACACCGTCCATGTATGATGACACCGGGTCTGATGATGATATTGATGCTCGTGCCATCATTCAGCATCAACCTGACAATTATTTACTCAATTAAAAATTTTACTAAATAAATATTTATTTATTATTTATAAAAAAAAATGATGAAAAATTTACTTGCAATTTTTAGGAATGAAGAATTATTTTTTAATTAAGAACTTTGCAAATAATAATAATAATAATAATAATAATAATTAATAAGTTAAAAATTAGACTTACAAATAAAAATATTATGGAGGTTGATTTCACAACGTCAACTCATGCTGAAGTGTAGCCATTGTTGTTCTGTTTCAGTCGGTAAGAAATTTTTCTGACAGAAAAAATGGCGCATGACTATTTATCAAGACTTTTTAATAATTTTATAACAATTAAATAATCATAAAAAAAATAGAATAAAAAATTATTTAAGTATTTTTTTTATTATAATTAATTTATAAAATATTTAAATGAAGTTAGCTGACATATCAAAATTTTTTATTGAAAAAATTTCAATTAAATAATTAAAAAAAAAATTGTCATATATAAAAAACTTGAAAAACTATAAGTGCAATTTTTTAGAAATATTTTTTTAGTTCTAATTTAATTAAAGTCAGCTAACTTTAGTAACTTTAATATAAAATTAAAAAAATATGACAGCTGTCAGCTGACTTCACTATAATTTTATTTATTTATTTATTAAAAAAAGTGACAGGTATCTTAATTTTAGTATTAAAAAATGACACTTAAGTTTACTTTTTAAAAATTAAGTTAGCCGATATTTAAAATTTTTATAAATTATTTTTCATTGAAAAAATCTTGGCAAAATAATAAAAAAAATTTTTTATTTGTAAAAAATTTAAGTGCAATTTTTAAAAAATATTTTTTAGTTTTAATTTAATTAAACTCGGCTAACTTTAGTATTAAAAAAACTTTTTAATAATTTTATAGCAATTAAATAATTATTAAAGTATTTTTTTAATTGCAATTAATTAACAAAATAAAAAAAATGACAGTTGTCAGCTGACTTGACAATATAAATATTAATAATACCAAGCAGCGCCACCTGAAGAATTAACCGGGCGAATTCAAATTCCCGCGCATGCGCAGTGGCGGAAAAATTAAATTTTCCGCGCGCCCTGGCGGCAAACACGGGAATCTTAGAATGAAAGATGGACGCTGGAGCGGTGATGCCGTTTGACGTGCGCGAAATATGATAGTTATATTAATTATCCAGACGATAAAATTGTCCTGACGTACGTAAACAGTGGTGCGATAAGTAATCGTACAGTTGCTGTGAGTTTAAGTGGATAAAGGAATAATAACAATGGCTTTGGTGACAGTCCAGCGCTCGCCGAGTGTCTCCAGCTCGCCCCAAAGCTCTGTAAGTTTTATCACACTAAATAATTCAGATCTTTAAAAATTAATCATCTAAAAATATTTAATTAATTAATTATTAATTTTTAATTACCTCAAAATGAATTTTAATTTTTTTAATCAAATTTCTTTTTATGCCGGACTCTCGGTACTGTCGGCAGGTGCTTTATTTTGACAAAGGATGCCAACTTGTGTCTTGTTGCTTGTGTTGAAGCTTTGGTTACTCCAAACAAAGACACCAGCTTATTCCTTTTCTGGATTATTGATTTTTTAGATCGACTTGTTGACAGTGACTTGCTGTTAATTGCTCCCTAGTGTACCATTATTATCACCTATTGTTATTATTATCCTTTCAATAATAATAATAATAATAATAATAATAATAATATCTGGAATTCAAATTGGGTGAATGGTTATGATTCATGATTAATTATTGTTGGTTAATAATAATTATTATTATAATTACCGGCGCGCCAGGAATTTTTGCTGGAACCGACGCCCTTAATAAAAATAATATAAAAATTAACGATACTAAAGTTAGTCGACATTTTTAATTTTTTCATGTTTTTTTAATAATTAAATTATAACAAAAAAATTTTTTTTAAAAATTGCACTTATAGCTTTTGAAGTTTTTTAGACGTGCAATTTTTTTTTTTTTTTTTTTTGTAATGATTTTTTCAATAAAAAAAAAATTCTAAAAATTTTTAAATGTCGGCTAATTTAATTTTCATTGAAAATTAAGTTCAAAATTTTTAGAAATTTTTTATTGAAAAAATTTCAATTAAAAAATTAAAAAAAAAATTTCACATGTAAAAAACTTTAAAAGCTATGAGTGCAATTTTTTAAAAATATTTTTTAGTTATATATTAATAAATTAAGCTATAAAAAAAATGATAAATGTCGGGTAATTTTATTATTATTTATTAATAATTTTTTTTTTGGTTTTTTTAAAATAGTTTGTTTAATTTTATTGAAGATTTTTGACCGAATAATCCGGATCCAGGTGACTAGTGTTTATAAACAAAGGATAGTTTTGTAGATTAAAAATTAAATAGTAGAGAAAGAGATGAAACTTTTTGATGGGTTATAAATACTTTGACGGAAAATGGGATAATGATTTTTGGCTGTGGTGAGTGCCAAGTTAAAATTAGCGGTGATAAATAAATTAATTTTTATTTAGAGTTTTCTGTTTTTGGAAATTCAATGTTTTATTTATTTGGTGTTAAAAGGGAGAATTTAATTTGGAGGAAAGAATTTCTTTGTTGGAATTTTTAAGAAAATTATTTTTGAAGGTTTAGTCAGAATTCTGAGTAATTAGTTATTTATTTTTAATCTTGAATTGGTTAAAAAATTATTTTTAAAGAAAATTTAGTCATAGTTCTGAAAAAGTAATTTTTTTAGTCAGTAATTAATGAATTATTTTCGTTAAAGTATAATTAAAAAATGTATTTTTAAAGAAAATTCAGTCATATTTTTGAGAAATAATTTTTTAAAGATTTTATTTGTCAAATTTTTAATTAACAATTATTTTTAACATCCGGTAATGACTATTAAACTAGCAACTAGTCACTATGTGACCCCCGTGACTTGTAAATTATAAATAGATAAAATTTTGGTTTAATCAATAATGATTTTTGTTAAATTACTTTGTACTTTTTTAAATATTGACGTTTTTAAAGATATAAGCTCAGTCTGACGTTACACTCATCAAGAGCTTTAATTTGAGTACCCACATGCATTTTTGATATATTTTTCATATATACATATATATAATATATAAAATATATGAAAAATACATGTGGGTATTTAAATGAAAGGTCTCGACGAGTATAACATCAGGATGGGCTTATATCTTTACAAATGTCAATAATTAAGAAATTATATTGCATTTTGTTAACTTATGATATTTTTATAGATATAAGCTCATCTCGATGTTACACTCATCAAGAGCTTTCATTTGAGTACCCACATCAATTTTTCATATATTTTTCATATATACAAATATATAATATATATAAATATATAAAATGTATGAAAAATACATGTGGGTATTCAAATGAAAGGTCTCGATGAGTGTAACAACAAGATGAGCTTATATCATTAAAAATTTCAATAGTTCACAAAATACAAGATAATTTCTTAATTATTGATATTTTTGAAGTTATAAGCTCATCCTGATGTTACACTCATCAAGAGCTTTCATTAGAGTACCCATATGCATTTTTGATATATTTTTCATATATACATATATAATATATATAAAATATATGAAAAAGTGATGTGGGTACTCAAATGAAAGGTCTCGATGAGTGTAATATCAAGATGAGCTTATATCTTTAAAAATGTCAATAGTTCACAAAATACAACATTTCTTAATCTTAATTATTGATATTTTATTAACAATATATATCTTATTTTTCTAATAATATAGTTTATTTAAATTTTTTTTTAATTATTTAAAATACTTTTTAACTTATTTATCAATATTAAATAATTAAATTAATTATAGAACTTTCTTGTCAAAAAAATAATTCCAATCAATTTATTAAAAATTGTTAATAATTTAATAAAAAAAAATCTTTTCCAAGCGTCCAATCACTCCAAAATCAAAAATATCCGTCAAAACAAAGTAAACTGATGCCACCCGCTTAATAACTCATCCTTCATGCAAACAAAAAATAAATGTCTCATTAATTAAACAAAATAAAATTCGCAGAGATATTTTTTAATAATTCACCGATGTTTATTTTCCACGTGACGTAATAATTGTTTGGCGTTGTCTCAACAAAAATCGAGGAACAATTATAGTGTAGTACGTACTGTAGTACGTAATACTCCAACGAAAGTAGATAAAATAAAATAGTACGCTAAAATTGCTTACAGTAGAGCAGTCCAAGTAGTAGAGGTTCTTTGTCTTGATTTTATTTCTTCCTCCTCTTGTTCTCTAGATCAACATACATAACATGCGTACATCGTACAACGCATTGCTCTTTTTGGATCATTACATATCAGTCAGGCCTTACTCTTCGATCACTTCGTTTTATTTTCTCACCCAATGTTTATTTATATTAAATTATTTCTTTATTTTGTCTGGAATAATTGTGAATAATTTTTTTTTTTTTTTTTTCGAGTGATTGATAGCTTCAATTAAAATGAATAATTATTTACAAACAAGTAATTTTATTTAAATAAAATATAACTGGTTAAAAATTATAAATTGTTAATTGTAAATACCGACAATGATTTTATTGAGAAATAATATTGTGATGGTTTATCTTCTGCCGAGTCCAGATGTTCCTTGTTTACACGGTTGTCATCATCTAAATAATTATAAACATGTTGAATGTCGGCGTTTACGTCGCTCGCATACGATTCAGCTGAGATATACCCTCAAAATAAATGTAAATTATTTTTAATAAATAATCTTACAGGACAAATTTTTTTTTTTTAATTATAAAATTGTAAATTGTATTAAAAAAATTTTTTACACTTTATTTTATTGAAGATTTAATCCAGGTTGATTTAAAAGTGTCGTTGCTGATAAGTTATTTATAAGCCGGTCAATTGTCGTAACTTTTTGACCTAGTTGTACTTAAATTAATACTTGTTCTGTATTATATATTAAGTGACCTTTTGTTATTTTTTTTTTTTTTAGGATTCTGGAGCTGGAGCGCCGACTGATGAAGAAGACGCTCGTGGTTGTAAAAGGTAAGAATTTTAAATAATTTTATTCCATTATTAGCAACCTTGCAGTCACTATGTGCTTTATTAAATAATTATTTTTGTTAAATTGCACTGTATTTTCTTAAATATTGATGTTTTTAAAGATATAAGCTCATCTAGATGTTATACTTATCAAGAGCTTCCATTTGAGTACCCACATGCATTTTTCATATATATATATATATATAAAATTGATGTGGGTACTCAAATTAAAGGTCTTGATGAATGTAACATCAGAATGAGCTTATATCTTTGAAAATGTCAATATTTTACAAAATACAAGGTCATTTTTTAATTATTGACATTTTTAAAGATATAAGCTCATCTTGATGTTACACTCATCAAAAGCTTTCATTCGAGTACCCACATGCATTTTTGATATATTTGTCATATATACATATATATAATATATATAAATATATAAAATATATGAAAAATGCATGTGGGTACTCAAATGAAAGGTCTTAATGAGTATAACATCAAGATGAGCTTATATCTTTAAAAATATTAATATTTTACAAGATACAAGGTCATTTCTTAATTATCTATCTAAAAATACATTTTTTTTTATTAAAATTAAACTAAAAAAAAAACAATTTTATTAAATTAAAAAAAATATTTTTTACCTTAATTAAAAATGAAATTTTAAAATTTCCATTAAATAAATTATTTATAGTCAATTAAATATAAATGTCTCATAAAATTTTTTTAAAAATAAGACTGATAAATTTATATTAAAAAAAAAAAAGATATAATTTATTCTATATTATGTCTAATTACCAAGAATCTAAAGTATTAAACGTTAATTGGTTGTTACTTTTAATTAAAAATTTTTTTAGCAAGAAATTCCAACAAATAGTCTAATAACTAAAATTGACCCGCGCATTTAAAGAGAAAGTACTTGAAATAAAAAGCAGCGAGTCAAATAAACAATTTACAATTACCAAGCAACTCTCCTCTGTGATCTGCTGATATTCGACATGATGATTGTCCTCTTAAATAATCAGTCGAATCAAAGATGCATGAATAAATTATCGTATTAAATAACCCCAGCTTTCTATCCTGCAATTTTAAAATCCAAGATCATTTAATGTTTGTAATTAATAAATTAACAATATATACAAGGTTTAATTAGCGTTATAATGATGAGTCAGTCGTATCAATGTATCCTTAGTGGCTGATTACGCGGAAACTATCAGGTCACGGTGTGTGCTTCTCAAACCGGCGCATAATCTCTGATAAAAATAAAAATAAATAAATAAATTTATTTACTGGTATGTTTTA